TCTTTATACTTTTTTATATTAGCAATTCTGTCGAAACGCTTATAAATTTCATTCATGTCAGAACTTATAGAATTATGAGAGTCGAACTTCTCTTTACGACTGACAGATGTTGTAAACAGAATATCATGTATATCATGTAAAATGTAAGTCGAAAATTGTGCTCTGAAAATGTTTATGAGGGGGGGGGGGAAGGGTCTGCAACCACTAATGTGTCTTTTTTGTCCTTATTTTGTGCTTTTTTGAGAGAGGAAAGAGAATGAATACATTGAAATAAATTAAATTTATTAAAAACATGATAAATTAAAATCATGTGAAATGGGATGTATAATAATAATCACCTAAGAAACTAGCCTTGTCTGAATTTGATATACTTTAGAAAGTTTTATGTTGGGTTAAGTAAAATGTGGGTAAAACATATTATAATGAACTATAAAAATTGAACAAAAGTTGCTTATAGACAACACTCCGTTTTTGGCTTTATAGTATCTTATCTATGAGCGGAATCTAACATCTGCAGTGCACATTTTTCTTTTAGTTTATAGAGACACTTGAAATAGTTGACCAATTTGAATAACGTCATCATAAACATATTTTTTCCCGGGGTGTTGTTATAAGGAATTAAATAATTTGGTCTGTTATTTTCAATGTAAATGGTATTTCTTCGAATTGCTGAAAAAATATTTTTGTTGCATATTTTCTCTGACACTAAATTTCTGCAATTACGGCTCTTTATCCAAAATATAATTAAAAATCATCAAAATTTGTGTCCCCGTCCACAGAAAAGTACTTGTCTTACTTTTTGGAGAAGGAAGTTAAAATGTTACATAATTATAGAAATCAATACTTGATTTCTATACCAAAAAAAGTTTAAGGACAAATGATTATATGATTATATTGATGATAAGCCTTTCATAAATAAAGTAAATGTTTTACTACAAAAGCTTTAAAGAAATTAGTAACCGTCCACCTTCTAATAAATAGAAAATAAAGATGATATCAAGCTCAATAAAAGCGTTTCTTGGGACTCTCATAATCCTGTCTATTAGTGGCCAAATAGTAAATGGTAATGACGACATATCAATCTGCAAGAAAAGCTTAGAGACATTAAAAGACAACGTGAAAGAATGGATGGAAACTTGCGTTGATAAAACTGGCAATGACGATAACACAACTGCATGCAAGGAAGTAAAACAATACAACAAAGAAAAGATGCAAATGCAAACAGAAATGTGTTTTTACAAAGGTATAATCTTTAGATTTGACAAACTTTCATAGTTTCTTGTTCATAGCACCAAAAAAAATTTTCAACAAAAATAGGTAGAAGTTGTGCAGCCAATCTAATTTCAGTTATTAGTAATATTTCTACTGTGAAAAATTCTTTCTAAAAATACTTATTCTGGTCTTTCACCAAATATTATGATCGTAAAGTCTATAAAGAGTTGCATTTTTTATAATCCACTCTCATCATTGTTATTTATAATTTTTTTATTATTTATTTAGATGTTTATCCAAAGCCATATTTCATTATTATGAGCTTTGATAAAATATACTCTGTTGATTTTATTACTGGAGATATTCATGTCAGCACTATTAATGGCTCCAGTAAGAATAAATCTGACCATGCATCAAGATATAATGACATAGAAATTGATGTAGTTGAGAATGTGCTTTACTACATTGATGACAAAGACATAAAACGGGGAAATCTTGACTTGACTAGAAACGAAATTTTTGCGAAAAATGTTTTTGCTCATGACATTACAGTTGACTGGATTGGTCGTCGTATCTTTTACATTGACTCCACGAACATTATCTACCAAATTTATTTGAAAAGAACATTACAAGTGTTATGAGGCTTCAACCAGGCTTACAATTTTCCAGCATTGCATTTGACTCAAAACATGGGTAAGGCGATATTGAAATTCTTTTTATTTACTTGTAAGCGTAAAATTAATAAACTATGTCAATCTATTGGAGGGTTTTCTTAAGTAAGGTAAGAGTTTTTGTTTTTAGAGACGGTGTTTTAATTTAATAGAAAAGTTGAATTTTATAAGTCCGTATTATGGTTTGTTATTTAAAGGTTTAATAATAGAAAAAAATATCGATTTTCCAAGGAAATCAAAACTCGCTTTTTCCCGAGGGAGCGAATATTAAGTATTTTGTTGGCTATAAAGAAACAAACGTCATCTAGTTCGACCAATTTTTATTAAAATCAACGTCTTTCGGAGAGATTTGGCCAGCAAAATTTTATTGCGTGACTATAAGGCATTTCAAACCAACTGCAATAATGAACACGTTTCGTGTGATTATTCAGCACACATGCAGTAGAAAATAACATGCAGATCCTGAAATTTCAAAAATCGACAGCGATATTTATGTTGAGCAATCAAAGAGCTTTGACAAAAAAGGTAACAACGGAGGGATCAATGTTTATATATGATGAAGTCATTAAATGAAATAAAACAGAGCGGTAGAAACTGAAATAAATTATTAAATAATTACTTTGCACATAAAAATTTTAGTCAAATACTCACAGAAACTTGGCTTTCCACAACCTACAAAAAAGTAGTACAACTTCACTGTGCAACTTAGTGTTTTACATTTAATTCCATTAATTGTTTAGTCTGGCCACCTAAGAGCGCTTTTCTATGACAGAAAATGCAATTTGCTTGACGCCTCCATGGTAATCATATGCTTAATAAGATATGCCCTACACATAGGATTTCAACAAATTGGAAGCATTGTTTGTTGCTATACTGTGCTCTTTTGTATACGTTTTTGAGGCAGTGTAAGGGATGTGCAACAATCTCAATACGGAATGGCAATAAAGTTTTAAAATATTCACGAATGTGGTGAACGTAAAAAACTTCAAATTTTCGTTTTGTAATGAAGATAAAAAGAACTACACACATTCCCACGTAGTTACATGAAAAATATAAAAATGGATTTTAGTTTTCAAAAATGTGGCAATTTAGAAAAACATAAAATATATCAAGTTTATAGTTTTTCAAGCCTTCTTTTAACTTTCATTGAATGGCAGAGCATATTGAAAAGTCGAGAGGTGCAAATTAAGTGGCTGCACACTTCCCTTAAATAAATTCAATCACACATCCAATCAAATCACCTGAATGGAAAGTAATTCCACTACCTTTAGTTCATGCAGTGTTTCTTAGTGTAGCTTAGGCAAACGTTAGGTCTGTAGCTGCTCCACTGATGATGAATCTGAAGATAATAATCATGTGATTAAAAAGAAATTGGCTTAAAAGCCTTGTGGAGCGAGAACTTTCTGAATATGTTATAGATAATTTACGACTTTAAAATAATTTCCTCTTCTAACGATTCTATAAACTCTCCATTCATGAGAGCCTTCTAATAAATAAATACAAGCCTTCACTCTTCGTGCAAGGAGGTTCCATTCCACTTAACCTCTCTTAACTTCACTAAATTTTACTTCCCAACTTCTTTATCATGTAATCCATTTGACACAGCCTCCTTTAGTCGTAATTTAACACCTTTTGTAAATACAATATCTTGTCTTAAAATCTCCTTATAAATTATTACTTGCCTGAATATGTCTTGAGTAAGGACAAAACGTCAGTATAAATTCAATTTTACAGCTTTTGGTCTATTTCTGTAGCTCTAATTAAAACTTTATGTTAGGCATTAATTGTTATCATATTACAAGAAAAAATTAAGTTTTACAAACACAAAAATCCAAAAGAACGGCAATATATACGAGAAAGTTTTTAAAGAGTTCGGGGCAAGCTGCAATAAACAACAAGAAGACATGGACTTTGCTGTTACTCAAATGCGTAATATATTTAAGAAATGTATTGGAGAATGCAAATATGCTGCGATGATAATCAAAACTGCCAGTTGCATCAAACATTTTCGATAAAGTAAAGGCCATAGTGTTCAAGCAGTTTTCGCAGCTTGTCCAATCCAAAGATTCTTAAAAACACGAACATGACATGGCGATAGAATTATCATTTTTAAATGATACCAATAGCGTTAGCTCAGTGTCAATATTTTTCTGATTTTTGAGAAAAACAATGAAAAAATTTGACAATTAAAATGAGAAGGTTAAGATGGTTTTAAAAAATCGTTTGCCCAAACAAACAGAAAAAAAGTATCAAAAAAAGACAATGTTTTTGAAGCTATAGCTCTTTTAAAGACATTTGTGGACGATGATCCATCCAAGGAGCTGCTACTTTTCATTCAAGATGAAACTGAAAATTAAGAAAGCTTAAAATTGAAACGACAAAGCTTTTTTAATTTATATCTACATGAAATGGTGCATATCATTTACCAACACCAAATTTTCAATTCGAACAAAAATTCCACGCATCTGATAATTTTCAGCATTATCAATTACCACCACAATTCATTCAGCAGCCACTCCAAACTACAGCATTACTCTTTCCGACAATAATCTCAAACAATACCAATCATTATAGAAGTTATGTGAATAAAATAACGTATTACATTTATTATTATGTTCTGAACCACATGCATTGTTTAATTACTTCATACATTTTAGTTCAGTTTTTAAAAGAGAGATTTCAAATGATAAAGGTGATCTTTTCCTGTTAGTTACAATAGCTTTATGTTGCTATATTATCAAATTTTATAAATATGTTCCATTAAACCGTCTATATATGAAGGTAGTTCTGAATACTTTGACAACATCTTTGTCTAAACAAAAAAGTATTCTATCTTTCCTTTCTTGCATATATTAGCTTGCCAATTGTTTATGAATTTCAGTACGTATAGAGAAAATTAATGTACAAAACAAATATCTTTTTAAGGTTATGGAGGAGTAAACATCATATTCTTTCAGTTTCACTTCAGTCAATAGCATATGATCTAACGCTTGACATGGCTAAAGAGAAGATTTATTGGCGAGTTTCAAACGGAAATATTTTTTTTTATGTTTACCACTCCCAAAATGTATGATTTTGGAACTTCACGAGGTCCCATGGCAGTATTTGGGGATTTCATTTATATCATGACTAGTGTTGGAAAAAGTGTCGTTAGTGTCCATAACACAACAGATCAACGTACGAGACGTAAATATTTTCTTCCTGTAAACAACAGTTATCTTGATTTGGCTGTAGCAATACACAGTATCACTCCTGACAAAAACGGTAGTAAAATGTTTACTTATTTAACATAATAATCTAAGACTTCAAAAAACTCCCACGCTAATGTTCATAAAATAGAAAGACGTTAAAAGTTCAAAGTTACATTGCCTTAGTAAACGGTTGTTCTTCCTTCCAAAATTATACAAAATTTGGTGAACATTAAGTTCAAAGTGCAAAGTGTCTAATTTGGACATTTTTGCCGTTTGTCTATTCTGGTCAAACTTATTTGGTGTTAAATTTAAGTCTTTATTGTTTCTTACATCATTTAAACAATCACTTGGGCTTGAAATCAGTCTTAAATAAAAAAAATCATGAAAATAGATTGTAAGACAAAAACGTCCAAATTGAGCATGTTGTGCAGTGAGCTTAATGTTTATCAAATTTCTTAAGATTTCAGTATATTGCAAATCAGAGTTTAAACTTTTACATCTTAAGATTAAACTAGATTTGAAACTTTTCATTTTCTTTGTGCATGCTGTTCAAATTGAGGCGATTACGAAGTACTCTCATGGTTTTCGAGGTTAATTGTTTATTCATTTTACTTGAAGTAAACAAGGCAAAGCCATGCCAAAATACATGAGCTTTGACACATTTTGTGAGAACTACTGATGAATTGATAATTTTCTGAACATTTTTCAATTATCTAACTTCTTTAGTATATCCCTTATAGTGTCCCAAGCAGCCAGCAAATTTGTTCATACACTGTAAATTTTCAACATTTATTTAATTGTTTTGTTTTTACGAAATGCGCGAACACCAAAATTACCAACATTGCATAACAAACTTGCTTGCTGGGTACGTCAACGTGGATACTGAGTGACAAATTGCGTTCTTTGAGGAAGAATATGTTTCGTTTAAAATCCCTGGTTAATTTTATTTTTAATTTTATTGATCGATATAGCGACAAGCACTTTTCACTTTCCTTTGTGTGGACCCAACACATACTATCGTAAAATTAATGGAACATTGAACTGCACGTGTATGGAAGGATACTTTGGAGAATGTAACTCGTGCAGGAGAGGTATGGATTTATTACTGTCTTTATCAAGATTTTTTTATCACCGATCATGAATAAAGAGCATCTCTTTGCAGTTTTAAAACTTTGTTCTTTGTTGAGAATCCTGAGCTGTTCTCTGTGCTGTTGCTTCTGTGCAAGGAATTTGCTGCATCTACATTTTACATGTAACCACAAAAATAAGGCTCACAGCCACACATGCAAGTTCATTGTTATCAATACGATCAAGCAGGAAATCAGTAATAAATTTATGAAAAGCTTCAATACACTTAAAACTTCTTCAGCACACAACATTGAAAGTGTATGGTTCTCTAAATGACAATAGCATATGTTAACATTAACACATTTTGAGTTTCTCTACATTAAGGAGGGGGTAGGGTTAGGGTTAGGGTAAGGGTTAAGGTTAAGTTTAACACTCCTCCTGAAGTTAGTAATGTAGCCATGGCCCTGCTAACCTAGATACACCATATTAGACAGTTTATTATTAGTTTATTATTGGTTTATTATTGGTTGGCTTTCCTAAACTAAGAATTCTGTTAATACGAACTTTAAAAAGCATTTTGACAGACATGCTTCCAGACAGGGGGCTGGAAGATCTCAAAGTGGGGGCACTGACCGAAAAGGGCAGTGAGTTTGCAGCTTACTGTTTTAGTATATTACAGATATGCATTGTTTCATGAATCATGATTAAGTTTCAAAGTCTGCAAAATATTGGTAGACATTCTTAGAATGCTATGCGTATTCTCTACTGCTCGGCGTGCGTGCTAACAAATTGAACTAAGATGACTACATGAACAATTTTTTCAAGTAATGCGATCTCATTAAAATTTCCCAAAAAATCTAACCCTACGTTCGTTTTTCAGAACAAAGTTCTTAGCTATTAAACGTAAGTCCAGTTCGTCAGTTCTGGCCTTGTTTACATGCATAACAATAAGATTATTGTAGCCTGCTGCCGTCATTGTGCTCCTGAGATGTGTCTTGACAAGCCACTGGCATGAAAAGATCGTTCTAAAGAGGCTGCACTCATTGGAGCAAGAAGGTAAATCTGCAAGTGTCGAACAACATTAGACATTGCCATGACAATCTGCGATGAGTTATTTTCTTCGGTTGAGAATATTGATGTTATGGTGTCAATTGATGTCACCTTCTTTACTTCTAGAAGTCGCTGCGAGATAACTCCTTCAAGAAGCTTTAACTCTGCCTTCAGCTGGTGAAAGTCGAGGTCATTTTCGTAAAGGTGTTCAACTTCATCATTCAACTCAAACTTACGCCCGTTTGCTGCATTAATGAGCACGGTTTCGATGTTCATCAATACAGAATATGTTTTTTTATCGAAGCGCTCCTGTAGTGAAGCCAAGCACGCACCAATTACTTAGTTGTTTTAGCAACATTCTTTTTCGAGTTTCCTGGGTTTTCTTCAATTCCCTGACCAATATCGCTCCAACATCTCTTCTCGAATCATCAGATAATAAAACTTTCTCAGTCGCCTCTGCGTGAAATTTAGACTGAGAGTGTTTTAAGTTTTCTCCGCACTTCCTCCAGTCAATGAATTATCCTAGGGAAAAGCCTTTTCACCATTATGACTGAAAGTAATAAGGTCTTGACGCATCGCTCTTTTACAGAAGTAACAGGCAATGGTGCCTTTTGTCATGCAGTATGTGACCCATGTATATTTCAAAAATATAGAAGACGGCCAAGTTCGTACATTCGACGATCCTCCTGTACTGGTTCTTTCTAGACGTGTGCTTTATTTCTTCTAGGGTAGGATGGTAAGGATGTCGGCCTGTACAGCCCAAACGTTTACAATCGAGTCCTAGCAAACATTCCGTTGACTCAATCTGCATAGGTCCTACCAATAGGGCGGTAGTCGTGGAGCTTGGCAAAGACGCATACGTTAGGTTTTGAGAAGGTGTGTGAACTGGCTCGGTCGGTGGCGCGACTAGTATCTCTGAAGACGATGTAGAGTCAGAATCGCCGAATTTTGGTTTGGAATGAGAATGAGGAGATAAACACGTTGATGGAGTTTCTGTAGCTGACGGCAGTGTCAAATTAGACCTAGAGTCGATGTTTTGGTCAACAACGTTCTCTGCTGGAGCACTACTAAAAAAACTCGTCAGTTTTAGCATCCTTTTAGCTCTTTCTACAAGCTCTTTTTACTTTTCTCGTTTTCGCCTAGCAGCTCTAGGCATGATGATTTTGATTAGAAGTGATTTAAACCGCAAAATTTTCAATTATTATGATAATGAATTTTCAATTATTATGATAATGAATTGTCAACAGTTTTGTAGGACCAATGGCCTGAAAGACAATACGACGGGAGCAATGCGTTGCCGTAGAATTTATAGTCTCATGTGGATCATAAATTGCGACTTCTCATTGGTTAAGTTACTGGGCGGACGTCTGCGAAGACAACCCCAATCTACAAACGCGATTTTTGATCTATCTGCGTAATCGTAATCAAAAACTAAGCTATAGCTGATTTCGCATGATGCTGACAGACTTTGTTCTATTCTCGGGGCTACTTGTAACTAAGAAAAACTTCTTCTGTCCAATTTTACCTAAAACAAGGGCATTTCTATACCATGAAAAGGGCACTTTCATTCCAGAAAAGGACATTTTTCCCTGTTGCAAAAGTGGGGGCACTTGTCCCAATGCCCCCGGCTCCCGGCCTCTGCTTCCAGACCTCCTAGAATGAGTGCACCTCAATAATATTACATCAAATGTCTTCAACCAATGGATTGTAGCTTTATGAACTTATTCCAAGAACAGACAAATATGGCCGTTGTCCGATTACTCAGTAGGCTATGTAGGCTGAAGCTTACATTCCGCGTTTTTAAAAGTCCTGTTCTCTTTAAACATAGTTTTACTCTTTGCCATTCTAGATGAGATAAATGATCAAAATTTCAATAATATATCCTGTTGGAAACTGTACGATATACTATTATAATGCTCTATGTATAGAACTCATAAAGTAGTGAGTTTATCTCGTTCGAAATTTAAATTTATTCTATAATGTTTACACTATGAGTAACAAAACTGAAGCAAAGGCAATGGAGCATAAGAAACGGAAACGTCGTCAAAAGACTGAAATTTTGGGAGAAAGTTATATCACTTAAAGTCCCACAAATTTTTCTAAGCTTACAGGCTGCGCAATTAGTCATCCGCCGCTTAGTATGGATGGTATGCACTGATAATGTTCATTCATAAATATCTTGTTAACTTTCGATGTAAGAAAATTAGGTTTTACTATTAAAATTCACTTCCTTTAAAACCTAAATAAGCAATATTTTTAAGAGGTACAATAAATAAGGTCAAAAATGTATGTAAATAATGGGTAATAACGTTTTCAGTAGATGGCATTAAATTTCTACTGGGTTTAATAAAATTTCAAATGACTTTCTTACTATTCAATTTAACGCTATTAGAGTTAGACTGGAATTTTCTATTCAGACAGAAAAAAATTTCATGTAAGCACACATTACAATGAAATTGACTTTATATTCTGAAATTGAGTGCATTGCAAAACAGCATCCCCACTTCAAATGTAATTCACAGTAGTCAATAATATCCATATCTTACATGCAATGCTTGTGTTCTGTAGGTTTCCAGTCTGTGAAACATGAAACAAGCAATTTTTAACAAATAATAATAATACCTAGTAATGATTTCATTCGCTTAAAAACACTTTTTCACAAAATTCAGTCGTTTATCCTATCATAACAGAACCTTGAGAAACTGAAATTTTTAACATTTTCAATTAAAATAGCCAAAGATTGCACTGAGGTACAAAATAATGGCAAGAACGAAAGTGGAGTTTATCAAATTGATCCTGATGGTAAAGGATCTTTTAATGTCTACTGTGACATGACTTCAAATGGTGGTGGCTGGACTGTATTTCAAAGACGCATAGATGGAAGTGTTGATTTCTATCGTGGGTGGAATGACTATAAAGAAGGTTTTGGTAATCTTAGTTCTGAATTTTGGCTTGGATTGGATAAAATACACCGACTAACATCTGCAAGGAGAAATAAACTTCGTGTAGACCTGGGAGACTGGTCAGGAAATAAAGCATATGCTGAATATGATTATTTTGCTGTAAAGAATGAAAATAAAAAATATCAACTAAGTCTTGGTAATTATTCTGGTAAGTTAATACGTTAATATAAACGTTTGAGGAAAAAACATTTTGATATATACAATATTTCTGAATGATATGAGTGATTGCAGTTTGCAACGGGGATTCTCAAGTTTTGATAAAACGGATAGTAACGGTTGGTTTCGAACTAAAGCCTTGTTTGTCAATAAAAGTATAATTAATTTTGAACTTAAAAACTTACCGAAAAAATACAACAAACAAACATAAAAAGTCGTTCCAATTTGCGAACGATTCTGTTGCAACGATTGATTGCGACATGTAATGATTGTGATTAGCTTATCATCAACATTAAATGCAAATTCAACTGCAGCTTTGTAAATTACGTAATGATAAGCACCTGAACAACATGTAGCTAATAAACACGACTAAATTATTTGGTACATAAGAAAAAATCTATACTGTGAATATCATTGTCTAATGATCATTGACTGAAATCTTTTTTATACAATGCAAGCATTCAAGTAAGCCCTAGTAAATAATTGTAAATGCAAGGTTCAATGCCTAAATGATATATACATTATAACTTGTTCTTACATGTAAAAGTTTTTTATGAACTTAACAACAACCTAAAACATAACAGAAATTTATTTAAGTTTACATGGACAATTCACATTTATAAGCATGAAACACAAATATATCAATTGAGCCTCGGAAAATACCCATGTACGCCATTAAGTAAGGTCTGTTTCATACGTCAAACTTTACATACACCGAACAGAGCCCTCTATTTGTAAGAGTTGGGACATGTATTGTTCTCTGGTTTGCGAACGTTGACTGGACAATATTGATCACATGATTCATTTCCGCCATTTTTGTTCCTAATTTTAAAATTTCAACTAGAGTTTATATGGCGATTATTACAAGTTTGTTTGTATTTTGAGAAAATATTTTGATTTTCTGGAGGTATGGCTACAATAATTGATTATTTGATAGTAAAAACATGTAACTGCATATCGCCATAATTATGGATCGAGAAAAAAGAAAGAAATGGCTTTATGATAGACTGGATTGGGCGTAGTGAACATTGTGTCTAACTGATCTTTATCTAAAGGTTTATCTACGAAGATTGTTTTCGAGTGAAAAATCATTGGAAATATTTGTCCTAATGCTAACGATTCAATAGTTTTCTAACATACAAAGCTTGTGCTTTATAGAAAGATTAAGACTTATCATTATGTTCGGAAATGACTCTAATTTACAAGTTCTTAACCACTTCAAGAGATAATTATTGCTAATAATATGCTAAAATAATATACTTTCGAATATTGTATTTTGCATCTTTAGGAAATCCTTTGAAAGTATAGTATCAGTAATCATAAATAAAATATTTACTGAAACAGCTGGGTAAAATATATTACTGGTAATGAAATATACATTCTGACTGTAATTTAAACCAGAGCATGTTCAATTTGATTATCAATGATTTGTTCTTGTCTTTAAATAACCAATGATTTGGTGTGGTCTTTGGTGTTTATAATTTAAAAAAAAATGCAGAAGTCTTGTCATTACTCAACTTATTAATTTTTTAAGCTAGATTAAAAATTGGATCAGACTCATATACAATGTCGAAGTCTGTACAAACAGTGACATTTGTAGCAAACAAGACTGTTCTTCAACAGCAGAATTGTTTTATAATACCCAAATGCTTCACCAAATAGAAGCCTATACCGTTCTGCATTGCAAGCAATAAAGAAATCAACAACTTCACATTAAATTAATAGAATATTAAAGAGCCACTGCATCTAACAAATATTTTAAATTCATAATTTTCCAGCAAAAAACCTTTGTAATTTGTCTGCATTAAATTTTTATACCTGGATCTCATTGCAATATATGTACTACCTAAGCAAAGTTCCATGACTACAGTGCTTCAAAACAAAACTTTGTCCAAATATGGATAAAACTGATTCAATGGTAGGCACAGTTTAAGTCAAAATAAATTGTAGCAGCTCAATTGTAAATTCAAAATACTTTTAATTTTAGAATAAGATTATTAGTAATGACTTTCTAAAGAATATATTTTTACCAGTTAAGTCGCCTCTACGGTTTCCAAATGTATATATAACCAAAAATGAGCAGCAGTGATTTATTTTGACATACCTTATACCTGCCAAAGCATTGATTCAAATCTGGATGTATGTGTCGTAACGTGTTTTCCCGAACAAGAATATGCAGCCAAAATGTCGAGTATTTTCTTTATCGCTGGTAAATTATAAGCAATGAAAACAAATATCTTGGTGCTGTTGGTGAAAACTGCGAGAATATACGTTCACATATGTAAAAATGCCTTGCAGTGGGTCACAATTAGTTTCAAAGCACGAACTAGTCAACATCGAATGTAGCTAAAATCCACGAAATTGAGTTTGGTTTGCAGTAATTATTCACAAAAACGCCAAAAGCTTGATTGTGGTTTACGATATGTTTAAAATTTCCATTAAACAAGGCGGAATTTCTTTATTCTTTTGCTCATTTAGCCATTTTCACACAGTTTTTTTACAAGTTTAACTTGCAAGTAGTCACGAAAATGGCGGCTCCGCGCTCACCCCAGACCCGTTGTCCTAACTCTTACAAATAGAGGGCTCTGGCACCGAACGCATTAAAGACAAAAGAACCATTGTCAAATGAAGATTGACTGAAGTCCTTTTTATATCTAAGCCTCTAATAATCAATTGTAAATGCAAGTGTCAATGCCTAAATGATATATACATTAAACTTGTGTTAATGGAAGTTCAAAAGAATTCTATAACTGCATTAAATGCGATTTTTGATAGGTATTATTTTTCTTAGGAAATGCTGGAGATTCATTATCTTATCATAATGGCATGGCGTTTACAACAAAAGATTCAGATAATGATAAAAGTAGTGGAATAAGCTGTGCCACTTCTTGGAGAGGTGCTTGGTGGTATAAGCATTGCTATCATTCTAACCTGAATGGACACTACTATAGTGGCAACCAATACAATTACAAAGGTGTGATTTGGGGTCATTGGAAACGTATTAACTCCTTAAAGTTTACTGAGATGAAAATAAAACCATAAAGAATTTCCAAAGACTGTGATGTTATAAATTTGATCATTATTTCTAATGAAACTTTCAACATATAATAAAAACATTTTAGCTTTTATGTCTTTTAAAACAACCTTGATGAAATTGTTAAAAATGCGTTGGTGAAACAATACTTTTCTAATATTTTCCCTAAAAATTAGAGCTGATTTAGGTAATTATATGATTCTAATGTTACGTCTTTTCACTCATTTTTTTAATGAGATGTTGCTCTGTAAAGCCCGGTTTCCATATGATCGTTCCTGTCGTAAGGATCGTCTTTGTCGCTTGCAATTTGTAGAAGCGACAGAGACGATCATATGGAAACGCTCAACTCAAACAACAAAAGCGATCCTTACGTTAGAAACGATCCTTGCGTATCGATCGTTTGAGATAGACTAGAGTTCTATCCTTGCGACAGAAACGACCGGAAACACCTTTTACGCGCTTGCATTTTTTTAATTGAAACCGGTGCAAAACGATCGTTACGAAGTAGCTAATTCTATCTTTTCGCCCGTTTCACGCAATCTTGATGTATCATGCATTTCATGCAATTATCTTAAATCGTTATTCACTATGTAAGCAATGTCACTTTTGATTGGTCAACTACCTGCAAATAATTCTAGATATCTGTAGGTAAGACTTCTATTTACAAATAACAGTTTGTCATGAAAAGCCGATTTTGAAAAAAATTCAAATCATTACCCATGTCACATGTTCTTAATCGTCTGAAGCAAGACTTCTTAAATGGAGAACTTCGCATGTATGTGTTGTAGGAGATCCTCTTAGCGTTCTTGTTGACGCCATATTTAATTTATATATGCACCAATTTATATATCATCACACACGACATGCACACGACACACGTGTACCATATCTAGATGGAGGCAACTGGAATACATTATGAAGTATTATTGACTTGCAAAAAGCTATCTTGAAGTCTTACTACGATCAGGGAATGAATACAACGGCAAAGGAGAAACATGAAACAATACAAAAGGCAGCTGATGAGGCAGGGACTACATTTGAAAAAGTTAAAGTGAGTTAGTATTTCTACCTACTTTTTACTTGGAAGGGCAGGCTACTGCAGTACTCTCAGAATTGTGCGCACTAAAATGTCGTATCCAAATCTGCGACCATAACCTATTTCTAGTTTGAAGTATTAGCATACATATATTTTTGTTAAAGGTATTGTTGCCAATGAAGTGCCAGGCGGGAAGCGGATTCTCAATATAAATATTAGAGCCCAACAAATAATTTTAAAAATCGTCATAAACAATTTGGTTTTATGAAAGGTACGGAAATTTGTCATCATGCAGTAAATGTAGTATTTGCGTAACATTTCCTATATAGGTGGAGGTTTGCACGTAAGTATTTCCCAAGATAGTTTCTGACGCTTCTTAATACCTTATATGACAGATTAATAAAACACACTCAAGATCCTTTGAATGGTTACTACTGCGGATGGGATTTACTTTATAGTGATTTGATTCTATAAAATTTAAACACAAAATCCTTCTTGTAAACTTATAAGAAATCTTCGCAAAGTGTTGCGTTGCTTTTACGTTTGTTCACAATGATAGTTCTCATTATGTACAAGTTTGATACATACGAATAAGACATTATTGCTGACTAACATCTGTTCTAAACAAATCCACATGGAAAGAACTTAGTGCAAAAGACCATGCATTTACACAAATGTTTGTAAAGAAATAACGCACACTATAGGCAAAAAGTTGATGAAGTGGTGGTGCACATTTCTAAGAATGTTTGATGTAGAATGTTCCTTATAAGATATGGTATTTTAAAAATAGCAAATGGTGTTTAGGATACAATACCACGGTACGACAATACAACAAGGAAAAAGCCAAATTCAGTCACGTGATGTAAATCTAACGGTAAACAACACTATTTAACTGCTCATCTACTTACGAGATAACCAAAATTTATCGAGGATTTATAACTTTGAAGAATTGAAAACATTGCCCAAAAAAAATGAGAAAGAAGAGACGATCTATAGAAGAAAAGGAAGACAAAGCTGAATGATGTTATTTCAGAATTTTTTTTAAAATATACGTAAAATTGAAACATTTATTCGCAGAAAAACAAAACCGACGCCGATATGTAAGCACATGCGTACAATGGCTAAAAGAGTACACGAATAGGCGATGTAATAAAAAAGAGAATTGCTTTCAAAAGTCATGTATTAATTGCATCAGTTATAACTTGACAAGCCCTAGGTATACTTAAAACTGACCTAAAGAATTTTAAAAGTTTATCTTGCGCTATATTAATATAAGAGGACGATTGTGATAAAATTTACCTGTAAGCTTCGTTAATAACTTTTTCAATCTCATCTAACGTGATTTCATTCGTTTCATTATAAGCTTGTAAATACGTACGGACGAAAAATACCTGAAATATCGAAGAGTTTAGGTGATATAAAAACAGCAAATCTTCGGGACGATTTCGAGGCCGATAAAAAGCAGCTTTTGTGCAAGTTTTTATAAGATTGTTAAAAACACAAATATTTGCGTGATTTTCGACCTGGAATACATAATACCTCCGGCAGCTAAACACCGAGGGAAAAAGCTATACGGCAAAACACCGAGGGGAAAACTATACGGCAAAACACCGAGGGAAAAGCTATACGGCAAAACACCGAGGGAAAAAACTATACGGTAAAACACCGAGGTAAAAAAAAATTTATACGGCAAAACATCGAGGAAAAACCTTTTTATACGGCAAAACACCGAGGGAAAAACATATATACGGCAAAACACCGAGGGAAAATCATATATACGCAAAATACCGAGGGAAAAAGCTATACAAAACACCGAGGGAAAAACTATACGGCAAAACACCGAGGGAAAAGCTATACGGCAAAACACCGAGGAAAAACTATACGGTAAAACACCGAGGTAAAAAAAAATTTATACGGCAAAACACCGAGGGAAAACATATATACGGCAAAACACCGAGGGAAAAACATATATACGGCAAAACACCGAGGGAAAAACATATATACGGCAAAACACCGAGGGAAAAAGCTATACGGCAAAACACCGAGGGGAAAAAGCTATACGGCAAACGCTGTATAAACGCTAGATTTTTTGCACTCAAACGCTGTTAAGAAATCCTGTACATCTTCATCATCAACTGCAAGAGAATGAGAAAGTACATTTTCAACCACACTAGACTCAGTGGTCGAAATGTACTTCAGAAAAGAACTCAGGTACATATCATCTGAGACATAATCTTCGCCAAAAAGACAGGAGCACAAGAAAACGCGAGAAATTTTGATTCAAAAATAGCGTTCTTGAGTGTAACCATTCACAAGAATTCTAGCTATCGCTTGCCACTTCTCTGGGGCTCCTTCATCCTCGCCTAACATGAAACTATTATATATTTCATTCCAAAACAGAGAAAATGCATCCCTGACAACGCCGACTCCTTCGCCCTTTTCCTCAACACCTCTGAAATCTATCATCTTGACATCCACACACCTCTTTAAAATATCACCTTTCTCAAAATAGTGCAGCAAGTCAGCTTTCACATTACAACGATGAATAAGCAACACTTCTCGCTCCCTAACCTCATTTGTAATACTTCTGGGACAAAAGTAGCCCCTTCAGAACTTTCAACTGCAATATACAACACTTAATATAGTAAAGATGGGTGATAAGCCACAACATTTCTGACTGTTCTATTTTCAATTTCCATTCATCCACTTTCTTTGAATGAATTCCCAATGGTATTTTGCACCATCATCACAATACCCACTCATCATTTCATGAAATATTAATTGAACATCAAATCAGTAGATATTTTTCTTCTATACTATCTAATTAGAACATCTTTTTCATAAAAATACTGACAAGAACAAGTAGACTATATAGTACTCACAAACCTTGGAATATATTCATCTCAAAAGCATCACAATTTTGGAGGTTCTCTAGTGCATGTGGCGTTAAAGTTGCATCATCAATAGATGACAGTCCAATCAAAGTTGTGGAATGTGATTCTTCTCCAAGCTGTGGTTCTGTGCACAATGATTCATTTTGAGTCTTTGTTTGTCTGATTTCTTCCAAATCTAAATGTTCTTCCACAACATCATCAACTAATTCATTAGCAACTACAAAACAAATATTTGTATTTTTATCAAATATGTAATTTATTTAAATAAAAGATTGTTGCATAACACACTTTTGCTGATTTCCTTATGAACTCATATTGGAATTCTCAAGTATAACATCAGAATGAATGTTGCCTTTTACAGTATTAATGTGTAATATTTAATATTAGCTCCTTATAAAGTAAGTGTTTAATTTTATTTGTATCATGATAGTTTCATAAAATTAACCAAATGGTGCAAAAATTATTATATACTTGACCTTACAGAATTACTTTGATTATTAAATGCTCATAATTTGGTGTTAATCAACATTAAGAAAATTGCCTATACATTAACAGTGTTTTTAATAATTAATAGAAAACCTCTTCAATTTCATAATCCAAAGTCTTCCAAACATGCAAATTGACACTACTGCATGGCCTGCCAAGGGACTCGTTTTACTTTTCTACAGAAAATGTTTCTGTTGTTCTTGGTAACTATAAAACTCCACATCTCGGTACAACAAAACCCGTTCGGAACTTTCATCATGGAGTTGCTTACTGTGAGCCAGTTGCTTCTCCACCCAAGCAGTTTATATGACAAGATGAAAATCACATTTTTTACATCAATAGGAAAAAGTGAGCCTCGCTTAATTTTCAAATGATTCCCATCCAGCTCAATAATTCCAATGTTTATCTGGGGTGGGAAAAATATCCAGTTACAAGGTGTTCATGACCTGCCATCACAAAATGTTCGATGAAGAATGAAAAAATTAGAGATTTTAATGGAAAATACTATTCCATCCTTCTCCATGAAAACCTGAGCCTGATTTTTAAAGCATGCAAGAAAAGTATTATTGTGTTGATTCGAATGACTCCAAAAAAAACAAATTTCGTATAGCAGCATTTTATATTTCAGCTTAAATAGGTGGGAATTACATAAGTAATATCTACATAAAAACAAGCATTGAATATAATTATTCACTACCATCACCCATCCTTCAAAAAATTATTGACATGACCTATTTGCAGAGGTAGTAATAATCACAAATCTTGACAGTGTCATTCTTCTTCCACTTTTTCGT